CCCAGACAGCCTCAAACCCAGACAGAAATAAGCCCCTGCCCAGTGAAGTGCCCCCTTCCCCAGGCCTCCCCTTACCTGGCCTCCCATCACGGTGGTAGCATCCCCTGTGTCAAGGACTGCCTCCTGATGGCTGTGGCTAGGTGAGAAACAAGTCTGGCGTGGGTGAGGGGAGAGGAGTGGGCCATGCCTCCCCACCACCCCCAGGCCCATCCCACCCCCTGTGCTAACCCCTGAGGTCACCGATGCCAGGAATGAAGATGGAACCAGTGAGTGGGGTAGCTACCAGTTCTTGCCTACTCACCTGGGATCCTGGGCTGGCTCAGGCTGCAGCTCTGCATTGCCCTGGGGTGTGGGTGCTGCGGCTGGGGGTGGGGGGGTTACTCTCCACTCAAGCTATGCCCCCACCCCTTCTCAACCAGTACCTGCTAGGAAGCCTCTCTCATACCTGCCATCACCCCCATTCTCTCTCCCTGCAGCCTTCTCAAACCCTTTCTCCCCCTCCCTGGGGACACTTTTCCAACAAGTATCTCCCTCCTCCTTCCTACTCTCTGTGCCCCAGTTCTCTCTGGTTCCTCCTCCTTGGATCTCTCTTCCACGCTGCCCAGCTTGAGAGCCATTCCCCTGACTGCGGATGGCCTTTCTTTCCTTCTGCGGTCCCTCTCCCCGGGCCCACTCCCTGGCTGTCCCCTGCCTTCCCTCAAACCTTCTTTCTTTCCCCTCTCTCCAGCTGGCCCAGGCCTGTCCCTCTAAACGTTCTCCCAGGTTCCTGGCCTCCCCTAGTCCACACCCCTCTCACCGAGAGACTGCAGTGGTGGAAACTCCCCTGCCGGCTCAGCCCGGGGCAGCCAGACGCAAGCTACCAGCAGGCAGAACACTGGCGCCGGGGCCCCCATAGGGGCGCGCAGGGTCTGGGAAGCCTGAGCGCAGGACAGAGTCCGAGTGCCTCTCCCGAGAAGGTCGGGTCACCCCTCCACTGGTTGGAGGCCGCCGTGCCTCTCGCTCTCTTGCCCCAGGGTACCCTTGACTCCGCCTCCCAGGCACTTGGCTCCGCCCCGAGCTAGAGTGACAGGACCGCCCAACTTATTACCATAATTTAGGAGTCTGACGGGTCGGGGTGCCGCCTTTGTTCTTCTTGGCCTGTGGCTGCCCCTCCCCAAGGGAGATTAGATTCAGATCACACTCAGTGCTAAGTCCCTTGGGGGAGCAAGGAGGCAGGCAGTCCGTGCAGCTTCCAACATCCCTTGCTCCTCAGAGATCCCTTGCTCCTCAGAGATCCCTGGCTCAGGAACCTGGGTTCTGGAAGCCCCTTACTAGGTTCTTGGAGACCCAAGATGCTGGTATGAGTCTGGTCCTATGCGCTCCTTTTAAAGAGGTCCCAGGAGGCACAACTCAGTGGTCAGTGGCAGAACCATGGCTCAGGCCTGCAGAGTCCTAGCCTGTGCTTACACCATTTCCCACTACAGCCTCCTGGGTCCCCAAGACCCCACTCTATCCTAGTTTTGAGCACCTCTAGGGGTTGGATCATGCCTCAGTTCTCTGTGTGTCCAGCACTAGATCAGGCCCCAGCTCAGGATATGTTGGCTAACAGAAATGCCTTACACTCAGGTATTATTGGTCCCATTGAGGCCTGACTTTGACAAAAACAGCTTTAGTTTTGTGAATAAGATACACTCTGCCCAGGAAAAAATTTGGACTGGTAGAAATGTTGGCCTGAGAGCCTTGGAAAACTTTGCATCTTTCACTTGGCCAACTAAGTGTTAGAACATCAACCAGATGCCAGGCCTTGCAGATGGTGATGATGATAGTGTCAGCCCTCATAGGCCCCTGGGCAGAGGTGTGTATTTGGGATGCATTTATTCATTCATCCAGTCAACAAATTTATTGAGCATCTGCTCCTCGCCACACACTGTTTTGGAAATACAGTGGTAAATAAAGCACGGATAACTATCTCCACACAGCGTATTTGAAGCCATGGGCTTAGGTGGGACGATGAAGAGGAGATAGCCAAGGATGGAACCTTAAAGAACACCAGTTAAGGAATGGGTGAAAGCAAAATTGTCTTAGAGAAAGCTTGAAAAAGAACATTCGTGGTGTAATAGGGAAGGACAAATCTGACTCCATATTGAATCTGTTTCCTTTACTTTAATCTTTGTATTCTATTCCTTTTGCTCTAAATCCAAAATGTAGTCAATAGTGTGAAATATACAGGATAACCCATTTTCAGGGATCTGACCATTAAAGGTCTAATACTTTCCCACTCATATAGAGATAAAAGTTTCAGAACAGAGAATAACATTTGTCTTGTTTGATATTTACAGGAACGTTGAGACCCAAGCTATGTGGACAGCTATAAGAACAAAGGATTCCAGCATCAAGAAGTTTGCAACATCCAACCACACTCCCTCCCCTTTTGCTATAAGAGATGCCTGCTTCCTCTTTCAGTATAAAAGAAGCCTGAATGCTAACTTAGGGAAGATGGTTCTTTGGAACTCTAGTCCACCATCTTCTTGATCTGTTGGCTTTACAAATAAGGTCACGGTTCCTTCCCCAACAAGTCATCTCTCAATTTATTGGTCTGTTGTGCAACAAACAGCATGAGCTTGGGCTTGGTATCAATGGGAAAGGAGAACCAGGACTCAGTTTTGTCCCTAAAACCCGGAGGGAGGCATTTAGAGAAGAACATCTGTGTGGGCAGTGTTCAGGTAAAAGAAGGATTGGGGTGTCAGTGGATGTCATTCACCCTCATAAGGGCATTTGCTGCTCTGCCTGAAATCTACACATGAAATAAACAGTCATATGACATAGTTATGAAATGCAGAAAGTCAAAAAAGTCAGTTGGAGGGAATTTATTTTGTGCACCTTTCTTAGACCTTTGAAAATTCTACAAGTCTTTTATCTCTGACATAACTAATTAATACTAAGGGGAGAATATGGATGCTATTTTAAGATTCTTTTCCAGAAAAGATTTACATCTCAAATTAGATCATAATTTAGACAAATAAAAATAGTCTGCTGGCAAAACTTCAGCTATTGCAGGTAGGCTGCAAAGGATGGGGGTCTCTAGGTGCCTCTGAAATCACAGTAATTCACTGATTTGGACTGCAGTTCATCTCCTGTCCCCTCCCCTTTGACATGGTACAAACAGGGCAGGCCCTTGCCCTGGGTTGAATGCAGAAACAAGTAAACAAATTCATAATTAAAGGTGCCCACTCTTCTGAGAGAATAGCATCGAAACATGTATATTATCAAGTGTGAAACAGATTGCCAGTCCAGGTTGGATGAATGAGACAAGTGCTCGGGGCTGGTGCACTGGGAAGACCCAGAGGGATGGGATGGGGAGGGAGTTAGGAGGGGGGTTCAGGATGGGGAACACATGTAAATCCATGGCTGATTCATGTCGATGTATGGCAAAAACCACTACAATATTGTAAAGTAATTAGCCTCCAACTAATACAAATAAATGGAAAAAAAATAAATAAATGGAAAAAAATAGTAAAGGTGCCCACTGTTTATATTCACAACTGTCTTTATCACCCCTCACCCCCCTCTGTGCTCTCAGTCTGTCTCAGGCTTGGTTCATCATTGTCTTTGCACCCCAGCACTAGACCTGATCTGGGTGGGGCAGCAGAGACCAGTGGCCTGAAACGAGATCTTCATTCCCTGCCCAGGAATTGAATCTGGGGAGCCTGGATGAAAACCAGGAGTCCTAGCCACCAAACCAGCAAGGGCTAGAGGCTAGAAGCTAGTTTTCCCTGGATCTTTGCCCGCAGTGAAAAGTGCATTTATCACGGAGGCAGAAGCTGTAAATGCAGGTACAAAGTTTACTTTAGAGACAGCGCAACAAATGGGAGAGTGCATAGAGAAACAGTTTGTTTAGTTGAGATAGAAGCAAGGCTGAGATGCACACCGAGACACAAAGGGTGTGGGTGTCCCTCCCCCCCCCCCCCCCCCCCCCCCCGGGTCTGAGGAGTACATTTATATACGTTTAAATCATTTATATAGGTCAGTATTTCCCGGCCTTTGTCTTCTTTCAGGCCAATTGTCTTTTTTTTTTTTTTTCCATACCTGGCCTACCCTGGGACCCTCCCCTGGGGGTGTGCACACATTCCGTCAGCCAAGGTGGATCTCAAAGTGAAGGCTTCTGGGAGGAGCAAGACTCTTACGGCCTGGAGTTATCCCTGACTTTTAACTCCAAGGAGCCTTTCTGTACATGTGTAGTGTCTCCCGTATCCTCTACTCAGACTGGACTTTTGTCTTATTCGCTTGAGGTGCTTACAGGAGGCAAAGACTTTCTATTTACCCTGTTTCTGCTGTTGCTTCCATTTGAGAGAGCAAACAGGGTGCTGGTGGTCAGTTCCTCAACTGCAGCCCACCTATCTCTTGCCTCAGGAAATGCAACGAGGAGGCAGGCTGGCTGACTGTAAATGTCCAACCTGGAGCCGGTCTGTCTCCTACCTCAGATCTTAGTTGAATTGAATCAAATGAACCAGACGGGGCCTCATCACTGGGTAAAGGTCGGCTGTAAATCAGGATGTCATTTCCAGGCCCTCCCGTGCTTGTGGGGGTGGGGTGGGGTGGAGGGGAGCTAGGGAAGTGTGGGAGAGGAAGTCAGTGGAAAAGGGGCCCTCCTACCCACGGTTCAGGTTCCTGTGGGCTACCATAAGACCCAGACCCAAGGAATTCGCAAACAGGTTTCTTCCGAGTTGGAAAAGTCCAGGGAAGCGACCATGTAGAATGCACAGAAAAGGTGAGATGCTTGGCAAGGGATGACAGACAGCTTCCTGAGATCCTTTACCTTAACCGCGTGTGTGTGGGAACCACTCCAAGGGCAGGGCCAGTCACAGGTCCAGCCATCGCTGCCGCCACCATAGACACACCCTCCTGGCCAGCGGCTCTCGGTGAGAGGCGGCGAGATTCAGGACAGGTGCCTCCCGCCGCCCCGCCCCGTCCGCCCCAGGCCCCACCTCCTCCTTCCCAGGCTCCGCCTGTCACGGTCGCCGCCTCTGCGGGCTGGGGCAGCCGGGCACCCAGCAGCCGGCACCCGAAGGAGCGGAACTGAGTAGCGAGCGACTCGATCCAACCCAGCCATGGATCGGAAGGTGGCCCGAGAATTCCGGCACAAGGTCAGAGCCACTAGCGGCCCCTCTGGCGGCCCCGCGGAGTCCGGGGGCGGGGTGGGTGGGCGGTGGATACCCACGGCACCACCCCTCCCCTGCCAGCCGGCCCTGGGGCTCTGGGTGGGCTCTGGGTTGCCAGCAGGAATCCCCGGTAAAATGAGGGAGGAGCACTAGGACTCTAGGTGTAGAAGCCACTAAACCGATCTCCTTCCTGAAACTGTCCTTTTTCTTAATACGCTGCGCGGCGGGGAGAGGGGGTTGGGGAGGGTTAGAATTCCTTCCGATCTTGGCTTGAGATGGGATAATTCTCTGAGATGCCCCATAGTGGGCAACGCCCCCTCCCCCCTGCCCGCTCCCTCCTAGCGCTCCCAGCTCTGGGCTGTTGGAGCGTGTGGAGAGGCTCTGGGATAGTGTCTGAGAGATGAGGACTGGGAGAGAGGGCAAGTGGATACCTCCATCCGTCTTCTGACCTGAAAATTTGAGTTAGAGGCACATCAGACAGCCGACTCCCCACCTAAGAGCATTTCTTAGGACCTGAGAAATAGCCGAGGAACTGCCCAGGGGGCCGTGGGAGTCAGCCAGACCCTTCAGGCTCTCCCCTAGGGTGCCCCAGTGAGGGGCCTCATTGGTGGCCCAGAACTGTCAGAGACCACTGCTGGGTTTGACCCAGGCTTCCCAGAACTGTTCCCAGAGCTGTGCAGGAGTTGCTGAGGCCCTGAGGTCAGAGGGGACCCTTTGAAGAGACCCAATGCACCTCCCACTAGCCCTGAGGATGCCTCAGAGCCCAAGGGTGCAGCCAGGGGTGTCTGGAGCTACCTACAGGCCCTGCTTGAGGGAAGGGTGACTGCGCCTTGAGACCCACCCAGAGGGGTAGTGTCTTTAGACTCAGCCAACCCCCTTCCCAAGCCTGAGAGGGCAGAGCTCAGGTAGACAAGGTCTGGGGGCTTGGCCCCTCTCTCACCAAGAGAAGCCCAGGGGAGCTCAAGGAGCAGCCAGTATGGAGGCCACAGGGGCTAAGGTTTGTGGCCTGGGATTAGGAGCCAACGGACAGTTGTTCATTTAAGAAACATGTTTTGAGCACCCAGTCTGTGCCTTCAAGTTGCTGGTCATGTGGGTGGGAGACAGACCCTACACTAATAACTAACCACACCTGGGTGCTGAGTGTTGGAATCAAGGTTTGGTGGGGGCACGAAGGGGACAGATCCTGCTGGCCGGAGTCTTCTAAAAATGAGGCCTTGGGATCCGAGGGATGAGAGAGAACCGGAAGTTCACGCAGGAGTGTGGGGGCTGGGAAATAACAAGGGAAGTGTGAGACAGTGTTCACCAGAGCATCCTGTTGCAAAGAGACCCGAGAGGAGAAATTTCAGCCGCCAGGGACATTTGGTGAGTGTAGATTTCAGGCAACCCACTTGCCCGTCCCCTACCCCAAGATGACTCAGGCTCGAATTTCACTTTCCTGCCCTGGGGTTGAAAATAATGTCAGGTCCTCTTTTGTCTTCTCCTCATGATGTACTTTTCTTTGCCTCTTTGAGAGCGTTGTTTATGGGGTCCCCGATATCTGACTCAACCCCTGGGTTAGCCCCTGTTTCTCTTCCCCAGGCCCCATGGGCCCCAAAGGGCCTCAGGCCTGTGTGTTTCCACCGCCCTGCTCTTCCTCATCACAAGAGTCATTACCTATTAATGCCCTGAGTGTGCAGGCGGGGCGTGCTGGGCAAGGCTGGGGCTGGACTTTGTGCTCTGTTGCTTCGGAGGCCGCAGCAGCCTTCCCCTCCCAGTTTGGAGATCATTTGGGAACTGGGTAGAGAGGATGAAGCAGCCAGGGAGAGACCTTGCTGTTGATTGCTTTCTAGATGCCCCTTCCTTAGTGTTTCAGAGCAAATTTACGCCGTTGAGAATGATATGTAATCTAAATAAATCCTTAGTTGTCGGAGATAGCATTAAAGGTAGTGTGTTGTCACGGAAAGTGCTGTGTGACCTGGAGAAAGTTATTAACTTTCTTTAATTCTTTAAATTTAAGATTCTTTACCACCTCAGCCACGAGATGTTCTACCCAATGAGGTAGAAATCTGCTCAAAGCTCAGTCCTGTCACTCACTGCAGTGAGACCTTGGGCAAGCCACCTAACCTCGCTGAGCTTTAGTTTCCTTCACTGTGAGATGGAATTCGTTGTGCTCACCTCACAGGATGATTAGGATGAAATAAGAATTCAAATATTGGCTGCTCTGGTTGTGAAGCAACCATTTGGTAAATGGCCTCACCATTCCCCACTGATGCCTGGAGAGCACCCTAATGGAGGACCCAACAGTCCCCAGCCCATTGAGCGGGGACTGTGGGGCTTGTACGGTTTCCCCAAGGCCATGAGCAGCACTGGCATGCCCTTCCTGGTCACAGCCTTCAGCCAGGGTACCAAGGCAAGGGGAGGGGGGCATCAGAGGCTGAGGCTTCCCCCCAAGAGAACCAGCTTTACAAAAGGAACACTGCACCTGCAGGTTGCAGGAACTTGGTTACTCATTTGCTCAAAAAGTATTTATTGACTTTTCAGCAATCACATATTCATGGGCATCTGTAGTGTGTCCTGCCCAAAGCTAGGCATCTGGCAGGAGAGGTTTGGGGGATAAATAAGGTCAGAAAGAGCCTCTGCCTTCAAAGGGTTGCTAATCTTTCATTCAATCATGCACGCATGCAATAAATACTGACTGAGTTGCTAATACATGCCAGGCAGTACTCTAACCATTGAATAACAAAACAAAGTCTCTGCCCTCTTAGACAGTACATTCTAGTAGGGAAGACAGACAGTTAACAAGCAAACCAATGAAAGTGTCATAAAATGTCAAATAGTAATGAACGCTGTGAAAAAAATAAACTGAGTGAGGTGAAGGGATAAACAGTGACAAGATAGTACTTTTTATAGGATAGTCAGGAGAACCTCTGAAAAAAGTGATATTTCAGCAAAGACATAAAGACATAAAAGAAATGAGGGGAGGAGTCATGCAGATATATGACTGCATATATCAGCATGCAGTCATTTCTACTTCATTTCTACCTCATGAGCCGATTTCTACCTCATTGGGTAGAACACCTGGTGTCTCAGGTGGTAAGAAGAACATTCCAGGAAGAGGGAACAGCAAGTGCAAAGGCCCTGAGGCAAGCATCTGGTTGCCTTCTTTAGGAACAGCAAGTAGGATGGTGTTTCTGAGAGGAATGAAGAGTGGTGGGAGATGGATCAGAGCGGTGGTGGAGTCCTAATGGGCCACACTCAGGATTTGGGGTTTTGTTCTAAGTGAGAGAAGCCAGCAGGGGAATGATACAGTTGACTCACATTTCAAGAGGATTGCTCTGACTGCTGGTAGAGAAGAAACTCAGAGGGCAAAGGGGAGAAGGGGGACCCTCCCTAGGAAGCTCCCACAATGGACTAGATGGAGTGCTAGACACAGGATACATGTTCAACGTAGATCTGACAGGCTTTGCTGATGGGATGGTTGCGGGTGTGGAGAGAAAGGTATCAAGGGTGAGACTGTGTTGGGGGGAGGAGGAGGAGGTTGGTGGAGACGAGCCAGAGGTGGTGGAAACCAAGAGTTTCATTTTGAATGTTTTATGTTTGAAATACCTTTTAGATTTCTAAGTACAAAGGCGACTGAGAAGATCAGTAGATGTAGGAGTGTGAAAATCAGGGAAAAGTTCTGTGCTGGGGATCAGCCTCAGTGAATCCTTATGGTATAAATGGTATTTAAACCCCAGAGACTGGTGAAGTCACTTGAGGAGATGGTGCTGATGGAGAAAAGACTCAGGACAGAGCCTGGGGCACCCCAACCTGTAGAGGAGATGAAGAGGAGAAGGAACCTTAAGCAAGGCAAGAGAACCAGCAGGAGGGTGTCATCTGCTGTGCCCAGCACTGGGTCAAATGCTACCAACTAGTAAGCATGACACAAGTCTCTAGAAAACACGAAGGATAATAAAACATGAGTCAGATAAACCCAGTGTTCTCTGGGATGCCCACAGTAGTCATGTCTGGATGTGACAGATTATAAAGAAAGCTGGGCATCGAAGAATTGGTGCTTTTCAACTGTGGTGTTGGAGAAGACTCTTGAGAGTTCCTTGGACTGCAAGGAGATCCAACCAGTCCATCCTAAAGGAAGTCAGTCCTGAATATCAGTTGGAAGGACTGATGCTGAAGCTGAAACTCCAATACTTTGGCTACCTGATGGGAAGAACTGACTCATTGGAAAAGGCCCTGATGCTGGGAAAGACTGAAGGCAGGAGGAGGGGACGACAGAGGACAAGATGGTTGGATGGCATCACCAACTCAATGGACATGAGTTTGAGTAAACTCCGGGAGTTGGTGATGGACAGGGAAGCCTGGTGTGCTGCAGTCCATGGGGTCACAAAGAGTCGGACACGACTGAACGACTGAACTGAACTGAACTCTGGGATGCACACTGTGCAGGCCTGGGTGGAAGTGGAACTAGATCCCAGCATCCCGACAATACTTATGGAGGTCCACTCTCTGCCAACTGCTGGGAGCACGGAACTTGTATTCACTTATTCTTACTTAGTTTAACTAATGAATACTTAGAACCTGCTACTTTCCAGGTGCTGTTCAAAGTAACAACTATTCACTCAATGAAGAAATTTTTTAAAAAGCCGTTTTTATCTCTCATGAAAGGATGGAATCCTATGAGATACTTTTATCCCCGTTTTACAGAGGAGGAAGCTGAAAGCCCGGCGAAGTGCAGACCCACATGGGGAAGTGGGTGTGGCCTCACTGCCCACCTTCCTTCCACTAGGCCTGTGTTGGGACCACATACGGATTAGTGAGGAGACAGGCAGGTGAAGAAAGGAGTCCAACACAGCTTGGTGAGTCCCACAGCAGAGGTGGGGACAACATGTCATCCTGTGCAGAGAGGATGACAGGGCAGGCTTTGTGGGGGAGTCTGAGGAAAGGCTTGACCCAGGGGAGCTGGCATTTGAGGAGACGTGGGCTTCCTTGGTGGCTCAGATAGTAAAGAA